TACTTAATTCTTCCGACTGTTCTCTCCCCCTCAGGGCTTTCCAATCAAAACGCACACCTTTCGGGTAGAAAACCAATTATATGCCTATTGGGAATTTTATGTCGGCTAAGTTTTGATATTTTCGACGTTTCGGGGATTGTCTATCCTCCTGTCTCTACGCGATTGGTTACCATTCTAATTGACGGGCTGGTAAAACCTTTATATTGCGTAATGAAAATAATAATAGCGACCACTGTTGGATTTCTCTGTCGCTATGTTGACAAAAAAAAATCAATTTAAGAGCCTACCTCTGAAATATGTTGCAAATGCAATATTTGCCTACGTCAGAAAATGGCAAATGTCCAAAAATATATTTGTATAATGAATGAGACAGTCACAGATCTTACGTGATCTTCTCGTGTCACCCGAGGAGTGTTGTAAGATCTGGGGTGTATTTGGGGGGCGGTTGTGTGTTTTATGAACTGTGAGGAAAACGCATCAGGAATTTCACCCACGTCCTGTGTTTATGTTCCCTTCGCAAGATGCACACAGCATCCAGCAGCGCCTAGCAACTGGTGTCACGCTGTTACTAAAATTCATTTGCTCCACTGCGCATTATCCAGCAACAAAGCAAATGTCATGACAGTTAATGCTTGAAGGGTAAATCCCCCTATAACTGTGCACCCCCGACACAATTTTTGTTAATTTTATTACAAAACAAACAATAACAAATATATTTTAAAAAAAACAACAGAAGTCAAACATCTGTCTGAATGACAACCAGTCCCCGAAGACACGTGTCATGAAAATTTGCCATCGACGTTAACAGAAGCCCACGGTTCGACCCTGTTCTGATGCAGTTCGCGACATTTGTTTCATCATGTTCAATTTCAATGTTTGTCTTGTCATTCAATCCTTCAGTGGCCCAGGCGGAATTTTCGGACTGTCGATTTTGATCTTCTGTGCTGTGACGTCATGTGGGTTTCGGAGGAAAAAACTACTTCCATCTTCAGGGCTGAGTGTTGCTGAAGAAGTATGTTGGCTAGCCCACAGACTACAAGACCATGAGCAGATCGGCTTTGTAGCATGAAGGCCACAGGGCAGGCCACGAGGTGGTGTTATATCGTCACAACAATCTAGGACCGAGGTTAAGAATGCGTGGAGGTATACCTCAACTCCCACGGGTACAACGTTAAATCCAGTGGTAACTATATGTACCACCAGTTTTAATAATCTATAAACTTTAACTTTCCCACGGAGTGATTTCTGTGGGTTTCATATGATTCTCAGTGTAAACGTCGATTATTTCCTTAAACAGCGTTAACCAGTGTTTACTTCGCGGTACGGACCGAATTCCTAAATATCATTCAGACCGGATTCGTGCTTCAAGGGGTTACGTATGAATTCTGGGTTCAAAGTTTATTTCTGGTCAGTGAATAGTTTGAAAATACGGGAACTGGCCGTCTTACTTAACGAAGTCCTGGAATCTGCGCGTGGATCAGTGTCACATACGTCACGATTTAAACTCTCCTCTAAATAAATACGTAAGCCGTCGCGAGTTTCGATAGGCAGCTAAGCGAGGAGCTGCTATACGATCTTGGCAGTGTGAGACGAATTTTCTGAGAGTTGCTTCTGAAGCAACTCCTAAATTAACTGCCGTTAGGAAATATGAAACAAGAAATAGCACATAAAAATAAAAACGAGAACTACTCTCGGGATGGTTACGACTTGCGAAATTCCTGAAGGGTGACGCACGGAATCAGAGAAAGGAGTCGGTGCAGTGGCGTATCAGACAGGCCACCTAGTGGCTAACGCTTCTGCCTCTATCCGATACGTCATAGGTGCCTTGACTGCGTTTGTCGTGAGCTTACTCAGTCACTCCAGAAATCCCCCCAGGACGACGAACTCCACTATACGGAGTCAAATTTGTGAAACTGATAGTCGAGAAATTCCGCACATTTTATGGATCCTGAACATTTAATTGTTGTGTTCATAATCATCCGCCACTGGACGTGTCCTGAGTCAAAGTTCAGCACACATTGTTCCTTTTATGTCTAGGTCTACCAAATAATCTCTTGTTCGCAGTGCGATTTCAGGTTCTCATGGCTGCGAGGATGAAGGTTGCTGCACGGTGTAGTCTTGTAGAATTTTACCGACGTTTCAGAGATGTTTGCTTGTCCCACCATCACCGTGCAGAGATAGGAAATGCTTGGATCTACAGAATACTGTTTTAAACGCCTTGATAAAAGAGGCTACTGGCAAGACGTAGGAGTAGATGGGAGTACAAACCAAATTTTTAAAATGGTCTCAAACAAATAGCATGAAAATTCGTGGGTTAGCTCGAACTGGAACAGGATAGGGACTGGTGGAGGGGTTTTGTGAACACGGTAATGAGCCTTCAGGTTCAGACAGCCGAGGGAAATTCCCTAAACAGCTGACTGACTGTTTCTCAAAGACTCTGCTCCGTGGAATTGGTTAGGATTGAAGTCACAAGTCTGATAACATGGTTGGAAGGAATCTTCACAGGATGGACCCTCAACTTCTGTGAGCTGATGTTGAGACGGGCCTCATGTGGTACAGAATTAGTATTCATGACGTAAGGAACGCGCATTAGCCCATTATTTCACGGGTCTGAAGTAATTCATGATACGACAGTAAAGGACCAATAGCTTGCGAGAGCTTAATGTGCAGCCGAAATAGAGAAGTGGACCATCTTTGTTCAATAACAGCAGAGTTTGTACTTTTATTGGCCTTCGAGCCAAATAATATTCTTAGTACGAGGGGAACGAATGGTACCTTATGGCTCCGTAAAATAAAAATAAATGACATCCTTGCGGTACAAAAATATCTGTGAGCTTTAGTGGTGGAAAACTTTGTAAAACTGCGCAGAGGAAAATAACAGCGGAATGCTGTAAGCAGCTTGGTATGGCTGAATAGCTATACACAGCGGTAGTTCAGACGGGCCAACAGGTTATGATGGCTTGTCTTCTAAACCTCCCCCGCACAGAAGTTTCTTCCTACTTATTGAATGTAGACTTGCTCGGTCACGTTTTCAGAAAAGAAAACGTTACGAATTCAACTTTCGTATCCCTAGTCTCAGCATCCGGTAAAAGATAAACGTTAATTCTTATGTACCAGAACGAAAACAAGTGATATTGGGCAGAAAAATGGGTCACGTGTCAGATGCGTCTGTTGTTACTGACCACAAAAACGAATTAAATTAAAATTAACCCCTTGAAACCCATTAGAATTACATGTACCATCTACTTTAACTCTCAATAAATATTAATTTTATATTCATGGGTTTCATATGACTCTTAATGCAAACAGGGATTATTTGAAGATTTCTGTCTTCTGGGTTGTTGCGCTGTGTAGTCTGGTCGATGTCGTTTCAGAGGTTATACTGCCTCCGTCATCAGGGCGCCCTGATGATGGAGGCAGTATGACCTCTGAAACGTTGGTAAACATCGACCAGACTACACAGCGCAATAACCCAGAAGACAGAAAACTTCATACTCTGATGACGGAGGCAGTATGACCTCTGAAACGTTGGTAAACATCGACCAGACTACACAGCGCAATAACCCAGAAGACAGAAAACTTCATACTCTGATGACGGAGGCAGTATGACCTCTGAAACGTTGGTAAACATCGACCAGACTACACAGCGCAATAACCCAGAAGACAGAAAACTTCATACTCTGATGACGGAGGCAGTATGACCTCTGAAACGTTGGTAAACATCGACCAGACTACACAGCGCAATAACCCAGAAGACAGAAAACTTCATACTCTGATGACGGAGGCAGTATGACCTCTGAAACGTTGGTAAACATCGACCAGACTACACAGCGCAATAACCCAGAAGACAGAAAACTTCATACTCTGATGACGGAGGCAGTATGACCTCTGAAACGTTGGTAAACATCGACCAGACTACACAGCGCAATAACCCAGAAGACAGAAAACTTCATACTCTGATGACGGAGGCAGTATGACCTCTGAAACGTTGGTAAACATCGACCAGACTACACAGCGCAATAACCCAGAAGACAGAAAACTTCATACTCTGATGACGGAGGCAGTATGACCTCTGAAACGTTGGTAAACATCGACCAGACTACACAGCGCAATAACCCAGAAGACAGAAAACTTCATACTCTGATGACGGAGGCAGTATGACCTCTGAAACGTTGGTAAACATCGACCAGACTACACAGCGCAATAACCCAGAAGACAGAAAACTTCATACTCTGATGACGGAGGCAGTATGACCTCTGAAACGTTGGTAAACATCGACCAGACTACACAGCGCAATAACCCAGAAGACAGAAAACTTCATACTCTGATGACGGAGGCAGTATGACCTCTGAAACGTTGGTAAACATCGACCAGACTACACAGCGCAATAACCCAGAAGACAGAAAACTTCATACTCTGATGACGGAGGCAGTATGACCTCTGAAACGTTGGTAAACATCGACCAGACTACACAGCGCAATAACCCAGAAGACAGAAAACTTCATACTCTGATGACGGAGGCAGTATGACCTCTGAAACGTTGGTAAACATCGACCAGACTACACAGCGCAATAACCCAGAAGACAGAAAACTTCATACTCTGATGACGGAGGCAGTATGACCTCTGAAACGTTGGTAAACATCGACCAGACTACACAGCGCAATAACCCAGAAGACAGAAAACTTCATACTCACCGCTGTGAGAACCTCGAGTCTTACAGGGATTATTTCCGTAATCATCATTAACACGTTGATCTTTGTAATAGTGTTGTGTTTCCTTTGCGGTACGGACTGATACTTGAATGTTATTTAGACTAGCCGCGGGAAAAGAATCGGACAACCCTTAGGGTTCGAGTCTTCAGATGTCGGATTGCTGGCATCTGGAAGGTCCTGCCACAGTCTACTCCGATCAAAATCTTCCGTGGTTTTCTCGATCCTAAAGCAAATGCTAAGTTGGTACACAAATCCCACGTTGTACTAATATCAAAATTGAACCTTACCTTAAACATTTGTAGTTTTGAAGTCTTTACGTCTTCGGGAGAGAAATCTTACTCGCACGCACTTCCGGTGTTCACATTTCCGCCACCGACGACGAACCTGCGAATCAGAAAAAGGCAGCGTAAATGACGTGGTTTCCAGTCTGTGCCCGTTAAAATAACGAGAAGGTACGCACTTCTGTATTGAAGTGTAGTGATTTCTGTGGCCACAGGAATGCAGCCGGCTCTAAGTCCTGTTATAACCTGGAAGTCTCCCGTTTCCCGTGAACATTCAGTGGTTAGTTTCGTGGTAGTAATGTACATTTATGCTCGTACCTTCCACTCTTTGTTAAGGAAATTCTGCTCGGGGTATTTTATGCATTTCTGCGACATTCATTGATCTAGTAAGCATTTTCATCTTTATAGCTGTCTTTATCATCATGAATACTGTCTCCCCCATCTGGCTGCATGTTAAAGTACAAACAGAAGACAAGACAGAATGAGAGAAGGCCTACTTAGGACTCTTGTAATATCGTGTCCACGCTCGGTTGGAAGAGTGCGCGCGCACATTTCAAAATTAAACGTTTTGTGGTCTAGAGCAGTGGCATTCAACCTTTTTTTTTTGTTCGCGTACCCCCAGATATAATTTCTCTTCAACTTTGTACCCCCAAAGTTGTTGGTGTATAATTCAAGTTATACATAGTATATAATCTACATCTAAAATAAATTAAATAAATTACATTACTGATTATTCAGTGTTTATCATAAAATATTTTTTTTAAATTTCACGTATCCCCTAAGATATCTTCGAGTACCCCCGGGGGTACGCGTACCCCAGGGTGTATACCACTGGTCTAGAGGAAGTTGTAGAATATTCCTGTGGCGAGCAGCGTAAAGTACACTACAGCTAACTACAGATCTATTCGTATGCATAGGCCGTGCGAGAATGTCTTATTCGATAACGACAATAATAAGCCGAAATTAACATTGATGACGAAATTAAGAGCAATATAAGTTCGGCGAAAGCATGTGGCCATTCATTTTTTAAATTATCTTCTCATATTTTATCAAAATACGCCCCTCTGCCATACAACTGAGGAAGAAAACAGATCCAAAGTCCAAGAACTGAGTAATCCACATTGCAACACAGCCTTCTCAGAAGCCTTTGAAAATGACGTCACCAAACGTCATTAGAGTGATTAAATCAAGGATAATGAGACGGACGGGGCATGTAGTAGGCACTGGAAAATGAAAGATGCATACGAAATTTCTGTAGGAGCAATTGTAAGGAAGATTTCACTGTGGAAACCTAAACATACGTGGGAGGATAATATTAAAATGGATCTTAAAGAAAAATATTACGAAGGCGAAGAGTGAGCTAAATGATGGGTCGGGATGGGAACCACCGAACAGTCAGAAGTCTTTCGTAAATAAAGTACACAGACGGCAGGAACATTCGGGATTATATGAACAACAGTCAGCTTCTCAAGGAGGACTCTGTTCCATGCAGTTACATAACAATGTGAGAATTCTGGGAAGAAATAAATGACGGCATAAACATTGAACTGACGCACTTTTTTGTCCTCCAGATACGAAACTCAAAGGGTTTCGACTCTTTTCTCTGCTTCCTTCATCAGGTAAAGCATGAAACAACCAGTCGCGTGAGTTTCCAGGTTCTTACGTTGTCGAGTACGAATATGGCTGTCTTATGGGTTATTGTGCCATTGTAGTCCGGTAGAAGTTTAGCATCGTTTCGGAAGTCATTGTTTCCTCCATCATCAGGACGATCGTACCTCGTAAGCAGTCTGCATCTAGTGCAATGTTAAACAGTGTGAAGAATCGCATTTCTTAGTCCAAGGATTTTCATGTCTATCAAGACAAACTAACCTAACCTAAACTAACCTAACCTAACCTAAATTAGCCTAACCTAACCTAAAATAACCTAACCTAAACTAACCTAACCTAAACTAACCTAGTCTAACGTAACCTAACCTAACCTAATCTAACGTAACGTAACCTAACCTAAACTAACCTAACCTGACCTAAACTAACCTAACCTAACCTAAACTAGCCTAACCTAACCTAAAATAACCTAAACCTAAACTAACCTAACCTAAACTAACCTAATCTAACCTAACCTAACCTAACCTAATCTAACGTAACGTAACCTAACCTAAACTAACCTAACCTGAACTAATGTAACCTAAACCTAAACTAATCTAAACTAACCTTACCGACGCAAGGTCGTTGAATAACTTGAGAATATTTAACTGATGAAAGAGACGTGAATGATGAATAGAATTGAAGGAATTAAAGAAATTTTAAAAAAATGAATATGGTGGAAATAAGACCTAAAAGTACAAGAAAAAGAGAAAAGATAAATCGTAAAAGAAAACAGGGATCGAGGAGGGCAAAAGGCTGTTTGTGTAACCTAGGCCACGCCACTTCCCGACCAGACGCGCTGTGTCAGCACCGCTGTTAACGAACCTGACAAGCGCCGGTCACTTACAGTGCCAGCAAGACGGCGTTAAGTGCTGGGACTCTCGCATCAACTGATGAGGCTCCTTCCTACCGCGAGAACTCTCCCCCCATGACAGGCATCCTGTCGGTCAAATTTCTTGACGGATACGTCAACGACAGTATGCTTCTCTGAAACGTCGGTAAACTATCAGATTACACGGCGTCACAACCCAGGAGGGTACCTGGGTTCAATCCCCGGTGACTTAAAATGACATTCCTCATAACAAGCTTACTGTAGGCCGAATTTATTAAATTAAGATTACTTTGATTTAAGCAAAGTGTCTGTTCTCCCTAAGCTGTGTCCTGATATTTACCGACGTGTTAACTAAGTGGTAAGCGGTTAGCAAGGAACAAATGCCGGTCGTTTCTGGTCTCCAGTGCCGTCAAAATGGGCCTTACATTACCACTGTAACGTCAGCTTATATTACAATTAATCAAGAATATCGGCCCATAGTTATAAATGCACTGACTCGTATTAAACCTGTATCGTATGGCATAGCTGGGCAATTAGGGCTGATTCAGTAATTATCAAACTTTACGTAGTCCTGAACCCGGTAATGAAAGCTTTTCGCAACTAAATTACCCATAAAGACTTGAAATGTAACAAAACAAAAGGATCTGTTTGTAACATAACACGCTCAAGTGTTCAGAAAGGCGATGCGATTTTTATAAAGCCATCGTGTTTCACTGATTACAACCTGTTGTTCCAGTCCTAGAATGTTTGTGAATTATTGGGATTGTTCTGTGTCATCGTGTGTAACGTGAATTTCTCTGTCGTGTGTATATTACATATGAGTAAAGTAAGCGCTTACGATGATTTCACATTTGTTTAAAATTAATACGTATCAGCATTGAAATGTACGAGGGGCATATTGCCTGTTCAGTATCTCAAAACTAATAATTTAAGTGTGACGGAATGGATGGTAAAAGCAGACGTAGGAACGTACGTTTACTCGAAAACTGACTGGTAACCTCCGACCTGTGACATCCCAAATTATGACCGCCCTGACATATCCGCGCCTTACGAGTCTCCGCATAAGACAGACGTAAGAGTAGGATTTGACATTTTCCTGGCGTCGAGTCCGAAGATGTCTATCTTCTGGGTTGTAGCGCCGTGAAGCCTGGTAGAAGTTTACCGACGTTTCAGAGGTGTTTGCTGACTCCATCATCAGGGCGATATTGGCATTAAACGTAGGCTTTTGTCTTATTTACAGTTTTACTCTGATCCCCATTAGGACGTACCACCGCACACACCAAAATAATGTTTCACATTCGTGTGGTGTCTACTTCAGAAAGAACCAAGGGCACAGGCCCTTTGCCAGAAATTGAAACCTTACCAGTAGTTGAAGAGTTATGTGCAATTTCCGTACTGTGCCATGCCCATTGTTTCAAATAATTCTTCTCTTTAAACTTCGTACGTAGCGCATAAATTCTCTTTACACCAACAAGGTTTAAAAAAAACCAGGGTATTTTCATTAGTATAATTGAAAATGCAAGACTTAATATTCCTTTTCTATACCGATATTATGTAGTTTTTAATTATAATAACTATACACTAAGATAGAGATGAACGGTTATGACATATTTTATGAATCTCGACACATAAGCTATGTGAATGTGCAGTTACTTTGTTAAATTAAACGAGTTAATATCACTGATGGCTTTTGATTAATTTGTTACTTGCAAATTGACAGAAATTCCTTCATTGTCTTCGTGACATTTAGTACACCAGCTTACAATGTTCCAGTTCCTTAATTTTGTTCGGTGTTCGCTGAATTTTTATTCGTACATGCGAAATCGGCAGTTCGCAATGCCCTTTTTAGGAAACATGTCACAGTGTATTTTACGTAGGCCCGTCCCTTCAAAACAAAGGCAACATTCGATCAATTAAGTACTGAAAGTTTTGTTAAATTTGCCAAAGTGTTTTCAACAAATGTAACCAACCGACCAATCAGAAACTGAACTGTAGGTGTAGTAAGGTATGGAGGAACGTATTATGTGGGAAGAAATCGAAATTTCTCCTGGCGAAACACAGTAATTACGGTCGGAATGAACATGAAATTATTCGTGCCGTAACACGTCATCCATCATTGTTTTTATAGGAAAGAATAATAGAATTTCTGTCTCCTGAAAACTATATCGCAATGCTTTCGTCCCCATCTAATTTCTATAATTAAACGATACACCACAACACAGCACGTTATAAAGCACGGAAAATGCTTACGACTTTCATACAGCGAGTGTTTGTAATTACGAGACATAAAAGTTCTGTCGTCAAGTAATACTGTCACCAAGGACATCTGGGACTTGCGCGGTATAAATAATGTAGAGGAATAAATATTTAAGTAAAAATTTTAAAAAGTAATATTAGCAGTGGATGCTTTAAAAATAAAATTAAAAATTAATACCGACTGTAGATACACTGCAGTCTTGAACAAAGAGAGATTCGCTACGAACTTACCTGTCTGCGACCGAGTTTATGGAGGATATTGTGACGATGTTCACTGATCACTTCTCATTAGGCAGATCTTTTTATTTATCTCGAGCGCTGGGCATCTGTTCACCTGGTGGGATCTTGGGTGTACGTCGTGGACTCAGTTTCGTTGAAATAAAATTCTATTGTCATGATAAATGGGAAAGTCCCACGGTTAGGGTATACAACAAAACAGATTTGAACCGCTACTGATACTTAATTGGTCGTCAGAAAAACCACACGAG